TATTACAATTATATTTTGTATGCATAACCTTTTAATTTTGTTAAAAACTAATATAAAAAGTGCATCTATTTACATTTGACGTTACACAAGCCGTTGCCTCTGCAATCCCATTTAAAAAAAAAATCAACGAGAAGCTGTGAGTACTCCGTGCCAAAGATACTTACGTAGTCTATAGTAAAATAGTCCCTGGCAAGCGAAGTGTGGAATGAAGTATAATAGCCAACTTAGTTTGAAGAACTAGTGTTGTTATAAATCAAATGTTTTGGCGCAATAATAATTGTCTATTAAAATTTGTTATATTTATATATCTGCCGAAATGCGATAGCTTCAAATTTTCGAGTTCGATCTATCGGATTTTCTATTCGTGTTTAATTATAGACATGTTCAGTGGTTGAAATAATGATTGATATTTACCAGAATGTCCTGGAGCGACACCGGCATCAGTGAGCACGTCGACATCTCTACTCGAGTATTGACTCAACTGTCACACCACGCACCGAATCTCTTCCAGTCTCAATTCTTTAAACGTTAACACTCGTACGCAACTAGCAACCAATCTCAACTCGATCTATCGTATAAAACCAACAACAATATTTCAAATAATTAAGAATGATTGTCGTTGAAAATCGAATTGATCAGTGGAGATTATCTCCGAACACGTTTCGATAAACGAGTAACTACTGTTTCAATTGATTCAGGAATAGTATAACATTTTTTTAATAAACTAGTCACGGTCAAACAGTATCGTTTAATTTGTACACTATCGGTGAGGAATGAGCGTGAGACAGGTTTCGAGGAACACGGGATACCGACTGGCAGGAGCTTGGCTGATTCGCGGAGACGAAAGAACCGATCTCCTCGCAATCGGAAGGCTGACTCGACACTGGCATGTCCTGATTCCGCGGAAGACTCTCCCTTGCTTACGCCTATATTAAATTAAACCACGCGCTCCAGCCGGTACAGTCATCGCGCGCTACCATAATCCAATATCTCCCCGGTAATCTGCACTCGATGATGCCGTCGATACGTCGAGATCGTAAAAGCGTGTCACAGTACAAAAGGAACATAAAATTCATTTATTGAATTCCTATCTGCATGAATCAAATTGTTAAAAAATCACTGCTCAATTGTTTTAAAATTAATTTTACTCTGGCTATAAATTAAAGTAAATGACACATGTTTGAAATTTTGCAAATTAATAGTTATTTTCATATT